GGGCGTGGAGCGTGCGGGTGTGAGCGCGCGTGTGTGGCTCCGTGCGCGGCTCTGCGTGTGCGCGCCCAGAGAGTAAAGGCTGGGCGGCCGACCGCGGCTGGTCCACGCGAGCGCGTGCACGCGAGCGCGTGCCAGTGCGAGTCAGTGTGCACGGCTGCGCGCGCGCGCAGCTGTCGGGAAAGTGTCTGTGTGTATGTCTGTGTGTGTGTATGCAGAGGTGTGCACGTCTTTGTGCAGTTGTGCGTGTGTGCGCACAGCCGTGGGTGCGAGCGCGTCTCCCGCGCACGCCAGGGGCTGGCCTTTGTGTCCGCGGGTAGATGAAAGCGGAAAATCCGCAGACTCCGAGGCCCAGCCACAGCGGCGCCCCGGCGTGAGGACAGCGAGAGATTCCAGAAGCCTAGCCAGGCCTTCGCCCTTGCTCCACCCTCCCCGCCCCCGCCCTTCTGGAGAGATACCACCCAACAGCACAACGGGGACAGGAAGAAGGGGTGGGGGCGGGCAGCGGACTGCAACTCTGGAGAGCTGATGAGAGTGGAAAGGGTACGGGAGGGGCAGGCCGAAAGAGGAAGCGGTGAGAACTGGAGATAAGGAAGGGACCGAGAGCCGACCCGTGGGAGGCCGGTAGCATCATCGTTGATAGCACCCAGGCCTAGGTTGGTTACCTGCAATGGTGACTCTAGACTCCAGCCATCTCAGAGCCCATTTCATGCGTATTGGCTGGGTCCTAAAGCCAGCAGGGGACCTGTCCACAGGTTGAAGGGACTCACTTGTTCTTGTGGGCCGGCACCTGAATACAGTTGTGTCCAGCAGAGCCTACTGTCTGCATCTTCCTTGGTATCCTTGGAAATCTTGACTTTCCTCAAGTTCCTACTACTGTAGAAGCAGCAGGTGAGGGGTGAGAGGGTGGAACCCAAACGCTAAGGAGGAGTAGGGAAGGGTTCTGGGTTTTAATCCATTTTCTCCGAGCAAGGATCTTGAGAGGTACCTTCATGCTTTGCAGACAGTGGGAGAATGTGAGGTCTTTCTCACCCCCTCACTGCTGGGGTTTGACTAATTGGCCCTGATAGGTCCCTAATATCGGAGTATTAATGATAGGAAAGGAAGCTATCATTTACTCGGATGCAATTGCGGCTCTAGAAACATCTCCTGTAATTACGTGCAGAAGCAGTTACCTATACTGTTTACACAGAGTGTGCTGTTTATAGAGTTGGTAATAATATCCTAGGATAATGACTATAATTATGTCCAGATTGGGGAGGGGTGGGTAGAGGCTAATGGGCAGGCAGGGTGGTCCATGTCTGGGCAATGATAAGAGCTGGGAGAAAATGGATTAAGGTCTGGAACTTGTACCTGCCTTTTCTTCGCCCCTGGGATCTTCCCTTGCCCCAACCAGGGCAGAACAGAAAACCACCTGTTCCTTCTACAGGAGTGGGGGGTCTTGAAAGGAACAGAATCGAGTCTTCTGTTGATAGCAGGAAGCTCACTTTGGGACCCCAAAAGGCCTTAACCAATGGAGAGGCCTGGTCTTGTACTCTCCACACAGACTTCCTCCAAGCCCGAGGCTCTCAATACAGTGCCCAGTAATAATTCTCAAAGCATTCAGGCAAATCCGTCATCCTACTCATTAAGTATCTGTGGTTATGTTACTATAACAAGCAATGTTTTAGATTACTTCCCAGTAAAACAAGCCGTTCAGAAAGATGCACCGGATGGTTCCAGGTAGCCCCCACCCCCACAGAGTGTTTCTTGGACTGGCTTTGGAAAGCAAAGCTCTAAACACTGAGGGACACTGAAGAGATTGGTAGATGGTGGAGTCAACATGCAAGATGTCAAGTGTATGCATCCCTTCTACAAATCCCACGAAGGGATTGGGGGTGTGCCTGGTGCTACTTGGTGCTTGCAGGTCTGTGAGCTAGATCCTCTGTTGCCTTTTCCAGAATGAATGAGCCAGCTGGTGCTTAGAGAAACTAAGTAGCTAGCCCAAATCCACAGCCTGCTCTTGACCTTGGCCCCAAGCTCCCTTTCTCCAGAAACACAGAGCAGGGCCAGAATTCGGCTTACTGTTTATTCAATGACTGTTTATTGTGCCAGTTGTGGTTCTGGGGAATTTACAGGTCAGCAGCAAATAGGACAGAGCTTTCAGTCCAGGGAGGGCTCTAGAATGGGGGCGCGGGGTAAAGAGGACACTTTCTGCCAGGCCTAAGGAAAGCACTTAGTATTCACTCAAAGCCAGGTGGTGGTGGCACATGCCTTTAATCCCAGCACTGGGGAGGCAAGGCAGGCAGATCTCTGTGAGTTCGAGGCCAGCCTGGTCTACAAAGTGAGTTCCAGGAAAAGTGCAAAGCTACACAGAGAAACCCTGTCTCGAAAAACAAACAAACAAACAAAAGTATTCACTCGATAATCAAAATTTATAAAACTGCAAAAGTGGTCATGAGACCTCCCTGTCAACAATCTAGTTTTAGTGATAAGTGTTATGAAAGAAACAAAACATAGCGGTTGGGACTAAAGTTCTTAGATAAGGTCACCTCGGGTGACCTTTGGGCAGAAACCTGCACCAAGAAGCCAGTGACATGGAGGGCTGCCTCTGAAGGACCAGCAAGGAACCAGGAGGGTGTGTCCGGGTTTGGTAAACAAGAAGAGTGGGTGCAGGTAAGACAGGCAGCAGCCAGATCACACAGGTCTCCTAATTAGGGGTGAGGTGCACAGAAAGCCAATTTAGAGAGAGGGTTTAGGGCTTCACTGTGTCTAACCTTTGGCCCATGGGCTACATGCAGCCAAGAATACCCATGACTGTTGCCCAACTTCTTTAAACCATTATGAGATTTTTGTGTGATTAGACGGTGCATTTCTGGTGTGTGAACTTGGTAGATGGCAATGTTGTGTCCTAATGTCGAGAGGTTGGACATACGGGGCATGCAGGTGATGACAGTCCAGCTTTACATTTCCCAAGGTTGTGCTGCACGGTGCTGGATGGGGCTGACGTGAGACAGGGCAAGAGCAGAGGCCTCATGCCCCCGTGGTACAGTACCCTGGTACTGCAGCGGTTTGGACTAGAGCTGTGGCCCAGGAAATACAGAGTAAAGGACTCATGCTGCACTTGGAGGCTGTACCATACTTTCCTGTTGCTGTGATAAAGCACCATGGCCGAGGCGACTAAAGGGAGAGTTGACGTTGGCTCCAGTTAATGGTTCCAGAGGGATGGGAATCCATGAGGGCAGAGCAGAGGCGTGGTGGCTGGAGCAGGATGCTGAGCTCACATCTTCTAACAGTTAGCATGACGCAAAAATCACACTGGTAAGCTGGGCCTGGGGGCACCTGCTTTGATCCCAGCACTCAAGAGGAAGAGACAAGTGGATCTCTGTGAGTTCAAGGCCAGCCTGGTCTACGTAGTGAATTCCAGAACAGCCAAGGCTCTGTAGAGAGACCCTGTGTCAAAGGGGGAAAAAAAGACACTGGGTGTGGTGTGACATTTTGAAACCTCAAGGCCCATCCACAGTGCCTGCTTCCTCCCGCAGGGCCACACCTCCCAGACCTCCTCAAACACCACCATCAGTTGGGGGCAAGGATTCGAATGCCAGAGTTTGTGGGGGACACTTCCCCTTCACTTCATAGGTAGAGCCAGCTGCACCTGCTCAGAGGCTCGTGTGCGGAGTGGACGGTTCAGGATGACTTGGAGGCTGAGGGCAGAGTCTGTTCAACACTCAGGCAGGCCTCTTCCTCAAACAAGAGAAGTCACGGTCCAGAGAACTGGAAGTTCCACCCTTCCTGTCTCAACCTATTTGATATGCATCCTCCACCAGAGAGATGTTCCTAAAAGGCAAACGGATTCCACTCCTGAGGCCCCCAGGAAACAGCCACCTCCAGCCATGCCCCGCTCAGGCCTGTTAGGTGTCTTCAGTTTCCCGCCCATAATCATAACTTCTTTCCTTTTTAAACTTTTTTAGAGAGGGTCTATTGTAACCCAGCCTGGCCTTTCACTCACTGTGTAGCCAAAGATGACCTTGACCTTCTGATGCTCTTGTCTCTACTTCCTCGCTGCCAGGATAACAGGTAGGTGCCACTGCACCCAGTTTATGCATTCCCAGGGATCGGATCCGGGGCTTTGTATGCTAGGCACATATTTTTCCAAGTGGGCTACATCCCTAGGTACTAATAATTTTTTTTTTGTATTTAAAAAAAAGAAAAAAAAAAAAGAGGGGTTGGGGATTTAGCTCAGTGGTAGAGCGCTTGCCTAGCAAGTGCCAGGCCCTGGGTTCAGTCCTCAGCCCTGAAATAAAAATTAAAAAAAAAAAAAAAATGAGCCCAGTGGAGAAATGGATCTGTGTAACAGAAGTTTCTCTGGTCCCACCTGGCCCTGCAGTCCCATAGCCATTTATAAAATAATCATTCAGAGGCATATATTAATTACCAACTGTATGGCCTATGGCAGGCTTCTTGCTAGCTAGCTCTTTCACCTTAAATTAAGCCATTTCTATTTATCGATGTATACCATGTGTTCTGTGGCTTTCCATGCACCCCATTACATGTTGCTCCCTGGACGGTGAGTTGGCGTCTCCCCTTACTCTCCTTTCCCCTTTCCCTATCTCTCCTGGATTTTCCTGCCTGGCTCCATCCTGCCCTGCCATAGGCCAATGCAGCTTTATTTGTCAACCAATCAGAGCAATGCATATTCACAGCATACAGAAAGACACCCCACAGCAGAGCTGTACTTAAGAGCATGTGCTGCCCTTGCCGAGGACCGGAGTGTGGCTCCCAGCACCTAGGTCAGGAAGCTCACAAATGCCGTTAACTCCGGCTCCAGAGAATCTAATGTCCTCTTTTGGCTTCAGCAGGGAACTGCACTGATATGCATACCCACACATAGACATGCATGCATAAGCATAATTTAAAATAAAAATAAATCTCTCTGTGTCTCTCTCTCAAGCTCTCGCTCTCACTCTTGTTCTCTCTCTCTCTTTAGTGAGCCAAGCTGACAAGATAACTTAGCAGGTGAGGGTGCTTGCTACCAAACCTGACTATCTGAATTCAGTCCCTGGGGGACCCACAGGGAGGAAGAAGAGAACTCCTACACACTGTCCTCTGACCTCCACATGCACACTGTGGCATGTCTACATTGCCCCCTCCCCTCAAGCAATGTTTTTGAAAAAAAAATGCATAGAGGAAGCTATATGAAGTCAACCTCTGGTATCCAATGTGCATTCAGGCAAGTCCACCCGCACTCACAAGCGCCAGACACAGTAGTACACACCTGTAATCCCAGCACTTGAGAGGCCGAGGTAAGATTGTGTGAGGCCTTAGTGTGAGGCCAGCCTGAATAAACTATGTAGGAGCTACCAGGCCAGCCAGGGCTACAGCATGAGATGCTGGGAGAAGTGGAGGGGTGGGAATAATTCCTGCTTTCTGGAAGAGAAAGCAGGGTTCTTGAAGGAGGAAGTGCTGAGCCCAGGGCACAGCAAATGACCTAGGACTCAGGCTCAAAGCTTACTCAGGCAGTTGGAAGGCAGAGTGAGGGACAGAGGAAGTAGGAGGTGTGGTCCCTGCATTTGCAGCTAACTGATGTTCCCTGGAGATGCTGGGAGTTAGAAACTTCTCTGACTTGCCCAACCAGAAATCTGAGTATCATCTTTGAAGCGTCCCGTGCCTGCTACAGTTCATATCAACCCAGTCTAGGACTTCTGTCTCCTGTGTGCCTCCCAGCAAAGCTAGAGAAATGAGTAGGAAGCAGACCACATCATGGCAAGGTGTGTGTGTGTCTGCATGTGTCTCTGTGTGTGTGGTGTGTGTGTGTGTGTGTGTGTGTGTGTGTGTGGTATGGTGTGTGTGGTGTATGTGTGTGTGTGGTGTGTGTGTGTATGTGGTG